AACCAACTGCCAACCTGTCGCCTCTCGGCCGCGGCCTGCCGGTGATTATTAGTCTGTGTTTGCATGGCTGGTCGATCCACCGGTGCATCCACAGTGGTGGAAGCAGAACCTCCACCAGCAGCTGTGGGCCAGTAAACCCAACTACCAGGAGTAGATTGACCTGTTGGGGCACCATTGGGATCATCTGCGAGCCTTTCATGCGGATCGCCAGCACCTTGATTTTGGTGCTGGATATTGTGATGATTCTGATTCCTGTGGTAAGACAGAAACCTTCTCTGCCTAGCCATTCTCTTCTTCCTTGCCTCTTTTGTAGCTGAGGAACCTAACCTCGTCAACCTGTTATCACCATTAGCCGGAACATACTGATATGGGTACTGGTTACCATACCCGGTAAAAGCAGGATTCTGGGGTTGAGCTGACTGGAGATTGGTGTCTGCAAATGAGTTGAAGCGTGAAGCCGAAGGAAATTGTGAGGGAGGCCATGTTTGATAGGACTGAAGCATGTGATTGCAATCCTGTGGAGTCCCGTAAGGATGGCCATTTATATTAGAAGATCCATTTGAAAACGGGTCACCCATATATCCAACCATGGGAGAAAAACCTGGCATGACTGTTGCCGGATCTGCGGCTAGATATGGCGGGGGAGCAACGTTCCAAGGTGACTGGGTGAAGCAAGGGTTTGAATGATCAGCTGGTATAGGATTGCAGTTGAGATTTGAATTAGGGTTAGGGTTTTGGTTCTGAAGAGGGTCTGGATTGTATGGATAGGGAAGATTAACGTTGGAGGATGATTCTCTCATGCGCCTTCTGTGTAGATGATTCGTTTGGACCCATTGGAGAATGAGCTTCAAGAGTTGTTTCATGCCTTCTTTACCACCACCTAAACGCCTAGCAGCACACTCTATAGTGGTCTTCTTGAGTTTGACTCTCCTCAAATCATCAGCTGAAACAGTCTCTTTGTTGCTCTTGAGCCAGTCTAAAAACACCATGGCCAGATCATCTGATCTTCCTCCTTGGTGGTCGGCCTCCTGATCATTTTTGCCTTTTGTAATCTCTTCATTTCCAGCTTGTTCATCATATGGAAGCTGTAGCTGATCTTGTGGTTCGTTTTGCTCCATTTGAAACTCCTCAAAGAGGCCTTCATCAGGATGAAATATAGATGAAGGATCAAAGAAATCATTACTCTCAAGTAGATCTATGTAGCCCAAATCCTCCATCACGTCCATGCATTCAATTCCTAATTCCATTGCTTGATCAGGAGGCTGAGGGACCTCCATTGAGCAAGTAGAAGACAAGGCCGCTGTAGAAACATCCACCGGATCATCCATCTCTTGACTGTTAAAATCATCATTATTATTGTTACGATGATAGCAGTGATTACGATGTTGATGATTCTTTTCAACATCTTCTTCTGCCTCTGACTTCAAAACGGCCCAAGCAGCCGCTGAAGAAGAGGAGGAAGCTGACGAAGAACGGGAGGAAGATGACGACGAAGTTATGGCCTTGACAGGAGCCGGAGTGGATGAAGAAGAGGAAGAAGAAGACATGCAAGGAAAATCTGGGAGTGGAGGGAAGTCTTCATAGAAGATCGAAACATCACTCGCATGTAACAGATCTTCTTGCCCCCTCTCAAGCCAGATCTCCTTATCTTCAACAAGGATATCTTGCTCTTCCTCCATAGCATCAAACCCGATTGTAGGGTTTCCTTCATTTTCAACCCCTTCATGCCGATCTTCACCATGCACTTCCAAACCCTTCATCTCTCTCTCTCTCTCTCTCCCCCTCTCTAATTAAAGCAAATGAAATACAAATAAAAAAGTTACAACTTGAGAGACCCTTTTGAGTTCTGTTGAGGTAGATTTAGAGAGAGAAGAAAAAGATATCGGAGAACACTGAAGGATAGGGTTTTCATTGTACGGATAAGTGCAATGAAGAAGATTGTTTCTGATTAAGGAAGCAAAAGAGGGTAAGGGCCCGCTACAAGCATCAAATCCTTACGAAACAACATAAACTATTTGAATCTATCAACAACAAAGATAACATAAATAATACCTACAAACCATGCATCAAAGAAAGTGACCCCTCCGATCTCTTCTCTAATTCTTTAATTAATTCTTAATTACCTTCTATTATTTTAATATATAGGATCATTAACTACTCCAAAATTGAATACGATCGTTATTAATACCTTAACCCCATCGTCAATCCAAGATCAAAACAGAGAGATCGATCGATCGAACAAAAATCTAGCCAGGCAATCCAAATATCTAGAGAGAGACAACGAGGCCAAGCTTGGAGAATCCCCACAGGGTGAAACGCTTTTGAAACACAACTCCATACGTGTTCTGGTCTGTTCCAGGACGTTTCATACAGTTGTCTAGCCTTTAAAACCTTTTTCTGAGATAAGTCCAAACCATTTTTTTGTGGGTTTGCAACTATTCAATTAATGTTCATTAGAGATGAGAGAGATAGAGAGTGAGAGGGTGGTTTTAGAGAGATATAGAAACAACCAAACAAAAACAAAACCTCGTGCGCCGCTACTTTCTCAGCCTGACTCCGGATTTTGTGCCACCCGCCATACGTTTTCTCCTCAGTGGTGCAAATTAGCGGTGCCTCAGCCTTCACGTTTACGAGTGCCAGGGAGTGGACTAGAGTACGGTTCGAATCTTAGCAGTAACTTCCAATAACCACCATGCTCAAAATTCATTATGTATTATTAATAATACGCAAATCACACTTTCGGTCCATTTTATGTAATTCCTCGGTTATTCGTGTTTTTATTTTGGGTTGTTTAAAAAATATCTGCATATTTTTTAAATAATTCACAGAATAAAATATAGTTTTTCAATCTTATTCTTTAAACACGTGTAAAACTAAGTATTAATCTAGTATTAGAAAAGAAAGTTTAAGTAAATTATAAAATATAATTCATGTTAAAGGATAAGATTAAAACAAATAAAAAAACACATTAATTATTTTTTTCTTAAATAGATAGACTTCTATGTTTTCTTATGTTTTCTAAAGAAAAAAAAATAGTTTTGAAAGCTTACACATCATATAAAGCAAAAAATGATAGTTTTATAAATATGTTAAAATCGACTAATTAATGGATAAATAAATTCAAATGGTGGGAATATTTCATATTATCTTAGTTTGGCTTCCAACTAATAGTAATAACTGTATGTCTTTTGAATATTAATTAATTTGAAGTTTAAGTTTAAGATTGAATGATAAACAGGTAATAATTTAAAGAACTAATAAGCTTATTTATTATCTTTTAAAATATTTTAATGCATGATAATCTATGGAATTTGCTAAAATTTGAATTTAAGTTTTGAGGGACTATACAATGCCATTTTTTCTCTCAAATTAAATAATTAAAAAATCGATGTTAATTTTTTCCCTGCAATATTCTATATTAATTCATTTAAATCTATCTTATTTATACAAAGTAGAGCAACCAGCACTAGTATTATGAACTATAGAGATCAATCCCAATCACCAAAAACCCTTTCTCCATCTCCATACTCACACTTACATAATAATTTCTGAACTCTTAACGACCTTTCTCTCTCTTCAGTTTAGTAATTTGAAATCTTGCAGAGCAGGGAAAAATGGACTCCGTCCCTCATGACATAATTTTCTATTGGTTTAACAACCAACATCCAATATGGAGGTTGTCTTGATTCGTGGGCAAAGCGGTGCAAGGCAGGCGGTGCCCACTTTGACATTACAAATTCAGCTGCTCCTCTAGGAAACGTGTCCATGCAATGCCTGACGTAACCCTCTCTGTCTCTCTATCCCGTATTCTCTCCCTGATCTGTAGCCAATAACATTGCTCTTCCGTTTCGATTTCCCCTCTTGATCTGATGCCCACCCATGGGTGTGATTATGTTCACCTCTCAAAAAAGCAAAGCATCTGACAGCTTCTTGAATCCTGCCACGAGTGCTGTTCGTCATCCTGGAAGACTGCAATTGGTGGTTCTTTAGGTTTATATCAAATTGGAGTTGGGAATTCGATTTCTTAATTCATGATCTTAGATGTGACAGAGCATGTGCGCGTGGGGTTTGTGTACAGCTTGTTGACCTATGGTATCTTGCCAGTGTTATGGATGCCAATTTCACCCGTTTCAAAATTAGAACATATCGTATATTTTGCAATTAACTCCGTCGCTAATCCCATCTGTATTTGGGAAGGGGGCGTTGGAGAAGACGAGAGCCCCGTCATGGCTGGATCATGCTGGACCACAATGCGTTGTCTGTGAGTCAAGGATGTTTAAAAATTCTATCCATGGTTAAACACCGGCGAGAAAACCAATAGCAAACATATCAAATTGTTGGAGATAGATACAGAAATGATGCAAAAGAATAAATTAAGGAATAAATAATTGAAATTTTCGAAGTTTTACTCTTTATATATTTTATAGTTTCAATATTGTATTTGATATTTGTGCTATTAATCTTGTATGATTTATTTTGCTCCCATATAATTAGAAACTAAAAAAAATCTGAACTTGTTAGAGTCATGTATACAATACGTATTTTGTATTCTACAAATTAAAAAAAAATATGGCACATTATTTATGGAATATAATTAACAAGCAACAAATGGGGGAAAAACCCCAAAGCAACAAGCACTCTTTATAAAGAAGGCAACAATTGTTTTTAATAACCATTTAAATGAAAAAAAAAAGGAGTTGGAAAAAATAGACTCATTGGATATTAAAAAACAACTAATATCCAATGAAATTTTTTTTGTAACCTCTATTTATCTTTTTATATATAATCATGGTTTTAAAAAATTTAAATTAATTATTTTTAATATGTTGTTGTTAAAAATAATTTTTTTTAAAAAATATTATTTTAATATAAATAATTCAAATAAAATTTATTTTAAAAAACAGCCTGAGACCTTAGAAGCAAAATAGGAAAGGAGGCAGAGTCAACCAACAACAGTGTTCACAGTAAAGTGAATAGACAGAGGAGCTCCAGTGTGGCACCAAAAATGTTTTATTTTATTGAGTAATATTTATGGTCTTACAAATGTCAAATGCCGATGCTTGTAAGCCCGGTATTTATTACAACAGCTAAGTGACTCTAAACAGAAATGCAGTGACGTAAATCTATATAGGAAACACATAAAAGTAGGAGGGAAACTACAAATAAGAAATCAAGAATCAAGGGATTTGAACTTGATCAAAGGAGGCACAACATACGAGAATGTTGTGTAGCTCAGTTTTTGGTGTTCATGCTGCGCTTGACTGTGTCTGCATTTTCCTTGATGAATTCCTTTGATTCCTCAGCTTTGCCAGCTACTGTGTCTTTGATCTTTGCTGTGGTATCTTTTACGGCTCCCCAAGCATCTTGAGCAGTTTGTTTTGCCTTGTCTGCTAGATCGTTTGAGGCCTCCGATGCCTTTCCAGCCACCTCTTTTGTTTTCTGGGTCGCCTGCTCCTCATCAAGTAGCCAAAAGATTAGTCTAAATTGTCAAACATTTAAGAAAACAAATTATAAACACGGTCATACAAATTAATTATCTATTTAGTGTTGTGATTTTCTTATTACATCTTCGACCACAGATTCACCAGCAGCCTTTGCTTCATTGGCTCCTTCTTTTGTGGCCTTACGAGCCATCTCAAAGCCACCCGATGAAGCCTCCTTACGAGAACTTGCCTGCAATTTCACAGCAAGATTAGTGTTTAACACTCATTGTCAATCACAACCCAACATTACATTACTAGTCATGATGTGACTTGATCTACCTGAAAACGTCTTGTTAAAGGGATGAAAACTCCAGAGCTCCTTTGGCTCCTAACTATCACAGCACCGAGTTGACCATACCTGGGAAGGGATGTGGCTAGGGCTAGGCTTGCCATTTTCAATAGTTTTTGTTTCTCAAAGGGAAGAAAAATGCTTTAGTTTTTTTATTTTATTTTATTTTTGAAACCATCCACACTGCTTTATATAGGAAGGAAGTGAGTGAGATTTGCAAGTAAAATTCCATGCGGATTCATTGCTAGTGTTGGTGATGGGAACCCTTAGCGTTTTCATCTCGTAATCCCTTTTGAATAGCTACGACCCAGTATTATAGGCTAGTCATTGGAACTCTAATTTTAGTTCATTCCAAGGCTAATTAATTAAGTGCTTGGAATATTATTATCTAAAACAAACTGAGTATTTACTAAATTAGCAAAAATAATCACAATACATTATAAAGAATTAAGTTTACATATGTGATTTGTGGATTTCTAGAAAAGTATATTTTTATTTTTGGTTGAGAATATGAGATTCATAGTAAAGGATCATTCCTACATTTATTTTACTCTTCAAATTCTATAAAAACCTGAAATCAAATTACAGTTTATTTTTAATACTTATTCTATTTTCCTGGTTTATTTATAAAAAAAAATATCAATGCCATTTTATTAAATAACAAGGAGGAAGTTCATTGGTGGTTAACCAAAAGTTATAATATGTCGGCCGAGCAAGGAGTTCATAGACAAGATAATTTAAATATTGCATGGTTATACCTTTTTCTTCATAGAATTTCTTTTTTATCAATGAATTATGATTATGATATGGGTTTTTATCCTTTTAATTATATTTTCTAACTCTTTGAGATTTTGTATTCTTTTCTTTGTCAAGCCATTATAACAGTTGATTTCTCTCGTATTTCATATAAAAAAAAGAAGAAGAAGAAGAAAAAGTTAGGATGTGTTCTTTTCATCTTTTTAGTCACTGTTTTTTGAATGGCATTTCAAGAAAAATTAAAAAATTAATTTTTTTATATTTTTAAATTATTTTGATGTGTTATTATTAAAAATATTTTTTTTAAAATGTATTATTTTAATATACTTATAAATAAAAAATATTTTAAAACTTCTTCATATTACCTTTATTTTATGGATGGAAGATAACTGAAAGGTCAAAGACACTATTTGTGAAGTAAATAAACTGAGTGATTGCAAAGAGCTTCATTACCTAAAACAAAAAACCATTTGAATGTTGAAAACCTCAAAGCTTACAAAGGCGAGCAAATTACAATAATTTCTTTTATAATTGGTAACGAAGCACCAAGACTGCTATGAACGCTGAGCACACAACTCTACAAAAGCCATGTGTTTTCTTTTCCAATCTAGTGAACAATAATAGATTATTATAGATATATATTTAGGTACTATTTAAATATATTTTAAAGGAGGGGGGATTTTTTTTTTTTTTTGGCTTGTATGTTTTGAATACAGGGTCTAAATTACCTTAAGTTTTTTGTTATGGAACTTGAATCACTCGAGATATGGGTTAAGAGATTTAGCTAAAATTAACCAGGTTTGATCTTGAATTTTTTTAATAATTTAAGAGGACGTTGTTTTGATTAATTTTTTTAAATAAAAAATCAATGAATTGGGTTATTCTCTATGATCAATCCAGGTTTTTAACTAGATTAAACCAAATATTTTTTTCTATTTTTTTCAACTCAAACCGGTTAAAATTCTAGATTAACTTGTCATGTTCTAACAAGAGGATATCCATTGCCTTTCCTATAAATACATTAACAAGCAAACCAGGTTCTGGACACCTTCTTCATTGGGTGAGGGCTAGGGTAGAATAGTTGTTTTTGGGCTCAAATTCCTGTATCGTAGGCCCGATTATTATTCTACAGCTCCGAGCCATATTCTGAAGTCAAGCCAAAAAGAATATTCCTTGGAATATTCCCGGTTCAACCCAGCAAACCACCCGAATTGGTTTTTGGACTGGTTCGCCCTATTTGTGACCCGTTTTGCTACAAAGTCAGACCGATTCCCTACTATTTGGACCATTCTAGATCCATCCACGGTGTCGGTTTTGCCAAATTCAACTCCCAAAAGGTAATATAGTCACTGTTAGCAACAGCATGCATGCAGCTAGATAACTAGCTCAGAGATACTTCAACAGCAGCTACAATGTTGGAGTTTCCAGGAAGAATGAGGCTGCGCTGGGAGATGAGAGGAGGACATTGTAGCTGAGACATGAGAATTAATTCAGAGCGTTGGTTTTGGTTGAGAATGAAAGTGGTAGCAGGTAGAGAGAGTAACAATGTCCACCAAACGACAACGTCCACCAAACAATCTGACACAGCATTAATTGAAAACTATACGTCCGTAGACAACCAGTCCATTTCCTTACCACCGTCTGTCCATATCGTACCTGGGTGTTTTTTTGGCCCTTTTCAAATTAGCACTTTAAACGTAAAAATTTGGTCCAGTAATATCGTTTTTTACGTAAAAACCTTAATTCTATGAGTTTTTTTATTTCCAAATATTTTTTTATAAGTTTAAATATATATTTTTCTTCAAGTTATAAACTAAAAAGTGAATTTCAATTACAATCTTAAAAAATTACTGTTTAATTATTTTTATCTTTCAATTTCAATAGTAATAATAATGTAGCTAAATTTATAATAATAAATCATTTTAAGCAATCATATATATACCATAAGTAAATAGAATTTCTTTTAAATAAATTACTAAATGATTTAGTAAATATATTTATTAATTGATAGAATAGGTATAACTTAAGAAAAGATCTAGTCATGTCATATTAAAATAATATAATAAAAAATTATTATTTTTTATTTAGATATTGCACTGTATTTAAATTTTTATAAGAATTTTAAAAAATTATTTTTTATAATAATATTATGGTTTTACTTGGAAGTGTGGTTGTGATTACTTTTCAAATAACTTTTTATATTAAAATACATATTAATAATTTTTTATTTTTTAAAAATTATTTTTGATATTAACACATCAAAATAATTTAAAAAAATTAAAAACATATTAATTTAAAGTTAATAAAAAATAAAAATAATTTAATTTTTTTAAAAATATTTTTAAAATACAGAAACAAACATGACCTATATCACTATACATGTTATTAAATTTTTAAATATAAAAAATTTTGTTGGTCTCTTGATCTTGATAATTTTAAAATTTTTATTATTTTTTTAAAATTAATTGATTGATTTAATTAGACATCATGAATTAACAAACCAGTTGAGTGATAAAATATGTTTACAATATCATACTTCATAATAACGATATTTTATATGAAGCGTATACATGCTATATATTTCACCAATTTTTTCTTCAAATAATATTATTCCATTTATTTTTTACGTTTACTGTAGTAATTTCACAATTTATCCATCGGATCCTCGTTGTCCTCCCGTTCCTGTCGGCAAGCAAGCTGTCATCATTATAAGCTTCCCCACGCAGACCCCTCGTTGTCCTCCCGTTCCTGTCGGCAAGTAAGCTGTCATCATTATAAGCTTCCCCCTCCTTTCTCTCTGCTTCTCCGCATTTGTGGTCTCCATCTTTTCCCTTTATTTTCCTTTTCCCCCTTAATTTAAAAAAAAAAAAAACTGGTTTCACTGGAAGTACAAGGTGGTATTCTGATCAAGTAGAGATTGCGTTTAATAGATATAATTAGGGCTGTTGTTTTTTTATTTTAAAAGTATTTTTTTAAAATTTATTTATTTTTATTTTTTTGATATAAAAATAATTTTTTAAAAATAAAAAATATATTATTTAAATAAAAACACTTTAAAAAAAACTAATTGTTACCACATCTATATATATATACACACACACACACCCTTATATAATTAATAGATTGACTCAACTATTTGATTTCTAGAGGTGATTTTAATTTAAATTATTTTAATTTCTAGTAATTATTACCTGTAATTAGAAATTAACTCGATAGCATATAGGTTAACAAAGCAACCCGATAACTCGTACGCTTTCATTAATAGAATCTACCGCCTATGATTAACGATAAGGGGTAATCGCTTAATTTCCCTTCATTTTGATGCAACATACCAAGATTTTAATGCCAAGAAGGGCATACATAAAGTGGTCGTTTTGGAGTAAATCAGACCATGATGAATTTTATCGCAAATGACGGTATCATGTGGTCCTGCCGTTTATTTAATTTATCATTGATATTGTCGGGAGCTGCAAGCGACTCAACATTATTTGGTGATGGTAAAGACTTTTATCATGTCTATTAGAAAAGTTTTTTTTAGATTCAATTATAGAATTATGATTAATATTTAAAAATTATTATTTAATATTATAGTTATTAAAAATTTATAGTTCGCAAGAATCTAGGTAAAGAACTGGTTGTGTAAGAAAAAAATATATCCCTCTAATACACCCTATCTAAAATAAGTTGTATTGTTATTTATTTATTTTTTAAAATTCGCCTATGATTAACGATAAGGGGTAATCGCTTAATTTCCCTTCATTTTGATGCAACATACCAAGATTTTAATGCCAAGAAGGGCATACATAAAGTGGTCGTTTTGGAGTAAATAAGACCATGATGAATTTTATCGCAAATGACGGTATCATGTGGTCCTGCCGTTTATTTAATTTATCATTGATATTGTCGGGAGCTGCAAGCGACGCAACATTATTCGGTGATGGTAAAGATTTTTATCATGTCTCATGTGATGTATTAGAAAAGTTTTTTTAGATTTAATTATAAAATTATGATTAATATTTAAAAATTATTATTTAATATTATAGTTATTAGAAATTTATAGTTCGTAAGAGTCTAGGTAAATAACTAGTTGTGTAAGAAAAAAAATACATCCCTCTAATGCACCCTATCTAAAGTAAGTTGTATTATTATTTAATTTTTTTTTTAAATGAGGTTTCTATTTCTAAAACTCAAGACATATCTTTTTTTATTAGAAAATTTTTATCTTATTTGTTTAAATCCTAATCATTCTAAAGTCTGAATTTTAACATCGCATTTATTTATACCTTATATCTTCAATACTTGAGGGTGCACTTTATTGTGTAATTTTATACCTCACAAATATTAAAGTATACATTTAGATCCTAAAAAAAGATTGGAAA